ATATGCTGAGAATCGCACACGCATATTAACTTGCCTGTAAACCATACACTACGTACTTCGTACTCCGTTCCTGGTATTATACAATTATTCGATTTTAAAAACTAATGGTACAAACCGGAAAAACGTTATGCTTCACTTTGTGTCAACTCATTTTCGAATGACGAGTTTTGAGAAAATAAAATAAAAATAATAAAGTAAAAAATAAAACCAATTATTGGTTATAAGCCACAAAAGCCATGTCATGATGGTTATGCTGAGTTTTTATGCGCCCACATACTCTGGTATAGTGATATATTAAACTTCTTATATCACAAATATCCAAACTTATACAGTTCTAAAACTTTTAATCGAAAATTATTATTACTGTGACTACCGTGTGTTAGTGTTAGAATTATATCACAGTCATTGATCTTTAAGCAGATAATAATGATTGGCTAATTTTGGGTTTCAAACCAGCCCACATGAAATTTAAACTGTAAAACGTAGTACTATGTCTAAAATTTAATTATTGCCATCTAACAATCGGGTGTGTAAAATTTTTGTAATATCTCGTTGCTTTAAAATGGCGAACGTGTCAAGTCCAACAAAGGGAACACGTAAGCAATTCACTCATGGCAAAAAGAATAAAGAATTTCAATCTACAAAATATATTAATTGCATGAATATTTATGTTGAATTAGCATCTGAATATCCGGAAGAATTAAATGCAGCCTTAAAAAAACTTAATACAGAAAATTTTGATTACTCTGAATTTAGCAATGTTAAATTTATTGGAAAAGGGAAGATTGCAAAAACATACTCCGCTATTTTCAAAAATAAAATGTATGCATTAAAAATTCTACCAGATTTTGATGATTATGGCTTACTTAAAAAACTTGTTGGTGAGGTAAAGTATTAATTCATTTTCTATCATAGTGTTTAAACAGACATTTATGACTAATTATCATGCCCATAGCTCAAAATTCTCAAAAGCATTGACCATCGGAATATCATTAAATTCTTCGGAACTGCAAGGGGCAAGATAATTTTTATATTTTGAACAGTTAATTATATATTAGATTGTTACTTATTTGTAATTTCTTGACTTGATTTAGATCTAAAGACGGGTTATTTTATAATTATACTACAATATGCCAATGGCGGAAATCTGCGAGATTATTTAAAATCGAAACAAGAAAAAGGACTTTATCAAATTTTGCGAACTGAACTTATTAAACTTTCAATGGAAATTACTAATGGACTAAAAAATTTGCATGATCAAAATATTATTCATCAGAATCTCGTAAGAATAATTTACAATCATATATGATGCAATAAAGAGCACCTGTAAATCTATCAAAAAAATTTCATCTTAATTACTATATTATATTACGTACACTCAAAAAACATATGTATGTTATCAAACGACTAAACGATGCAACTGAAAAAACAATTCGGGTTAAAGCTTAGAACCGGTTTTATTTTTCATATGCCAAACTCGATTACAACCCAGTTTTAACATATGAAAAATCAACCCTATTTTAAGCTTTTAAATTTATTGTACTCATCTGCTTTATTTTATTTTATTTTTTAGTCTAATAAGATGAAAATTCATTAATAGATTACGATTTTTTCTTTGATCCAATAAATTAATAAGAACTTTTTATTAAAATTTCTTAGCACTCTAAAAATATTCTGATTAACGATAATAAAGCGTTGATTGCGGAGTTTGGAATTACAAAAAGCTTAAGCTACATGAAAGGTATCGACATGGTAGCATATATTGACCCATATTGCATTCTGAAATCGAAAATGGATGACATGGACATGAAAGCTGACATTTATAGCTTGGGCATGTTATTCTGGGAACTAACGAGTGGAGTTCCTCCATATAATGATTTAAGACCCGAAAAAATCATCCAGCAAATTTCGGCTGGTGAACTTGTAAGAGAGAAAACCGCAAAAAATATACCTCCAAATTATGCAAATCTCTACGAGAGATGTTGGTCTCATGATCGTGATAAGCGTCCAACAACGGATGAAATTTTAGAAGACCTTGAAAAATTAAATTCTTCTGTGGAAAATTGTGGTAAATCTATTTTAAAATTATTTGTGATTTGAATTTATAATTTCGTGCGGTTACGTTAAATTAAATCTTAAGTTGTACGTACTTGGAACTCTCATACACCTTAATCAGTGTTGGACAGTCGGATCAAATTTATTTCACTGGACTTATAAATTGGACTATTGGACTTATAGATTCTAATTGGACGCATAAGTCCAATTCCAATACGACATATTGAATTTATAAGGGTAACAAACATTGATCTTAATGGGTTGGGCAAATTTTACCGTAAAAGTCGAACTTATGTACCCAGTGTACCTAACTTATTCAATTCCATGTGTAGGGATACACCTGGGGTTGGCAATTGAATTCAATAGAGCCAATGGAACTGCGAGTGAACAATGAAGCTCTTAATGAAGCCAATGTATACTAGTTTTTGAGCTCCATTGGCTCATTGTCAACCCTGAATATAGTATACCATATAGAAACAAATATGGTTTATTATATCACATAAACTGATATTATAGATACAGGATATACGCCACAAGTGGTACACAAGTCTGGCTTTTATCATAATAATCGGTAGTTGGACAAACCTCTATCATTTTGATTGACAATATATGGAAGTCCAGATATTATTTTTGCTAAATTTAAATTCGCATCTAACGTTAGCATTACAAGAATTATATCATTTAATCAGTTTAATAAACGAAATTATGGTTGCTCGGTGGTGTGTCATAACGGGCCGTTCTAAGTTATATAATTCCTTACGATTTTAGCATCCACAAATGTGCTAATATATATCTATTTTTTTTAAACACATAAATGAAGGAGAGGTTTCCATAAGTGAAATTAAAATTATAAGTTGCTTCATGTTGATTAAGGACAAAATCGAAAAATCCAAAATCAATCTTTATAATTACGAAGATTTTGAAAAAATTGATGATGATAACCAATTTGAAATTGCAAACTGGAAAAACCAAAATGAAAAGGTTGCTCTAAATTATATATATATTGATCCAAACATAACTGAAGAGAGGATTCAAGAATATATTGAAGAGGTTTGAAATATAATTGATTGCTATATTATAATAATAAATTGCATGTTTATAGAGCAATATTAATTTATAGGTCGAACTAATGGCTAGTATTACGGTGCGTCATCCTTCTCATATTAACCAATTTTATGGAATAGCCGGAGATGAGAAGGAGCATCGTTATTTTTTAATCCAACATTATGCAAATAATGGTAATTTACGGGAATATCTAAAAAATAATTTTGATAAACTTTTATGGAAAGATAAGTTACACTTAGCACTCGAAATTGCAACTGGGCTCAAGCATCTACACCAAGATAATGTCATTTATAAAGAAATTGTAAGATATATTTTAAAACAATATCAATATAATAGATCAATTATCAAATCAAATGTTTTTCTAGGTCGCTACAATAACCTAAAAACCTCGTACAGATATTAGGAAAACCACCCTTCGACATTTTCCGATCGGGCTAATTCGGACAAACTTAGGCCAACATACCGATTCTTACTTGCGGTAAATTATCTTTTGCCCTTATTTATTCACAAGTTTATCGAATAAATGATTGAATAAAAGATGATTTACCGTAAGTAAGAACTGGTATGTTGGCCTAAGTTTGTCCGAATTAGCCCGGTCGGAAGATTTCGAAGGGTGATTTTCATAGCAAAGATCTCATTTGATTCGATCATTTGAATTACCTAAGGCCAGGTAGTTTTTAATTAGATTTGATTCATTGGGGTGGTCTTTCGACCAAATAAATCAAAACTATATATGGTATCATATGAAATTTTGTTATAAAATTTTTCATCATAATGATTTAGATGCAATGCAAGTTACAGCACCAAATTTTATATTGTTCAAAATTTTGTCCAGATTATCCAAACAACAAATCCACATAAAGTAAGAAAAAATGTTCGTTCTCCATATATAATGTAAAAAATTAGGAAAGAGTCGATTGGCATCAGAATTTTCTGCAAAAAAAAGAAAATTTCAACCTGTGCATCAAAAAAAAGTACTCAATCATATATTTATTTTTATATATAAATTTATTACTGATTAATCACACTAATGAAAATTTTCAATAAGCTTAGAAATTAGTGGCCACATATAGTTTAATTGACAGAAAACCCCAATGATTCATGTAATGAATGTAAAGCACTACTCAAATTTAGACAAGTGCCGCCAAGTGAAATGCAGGAATTCTAAATATTGATTACCATAAAATAAACATTTATTGTATATTATACCTCATAGTTTTCGCTCGGCAACGTTCAAACTAACTCTCAATTTATGGTCTTCATACGATACCGTTGTTATCGTCCAGCAGCTGTTACTGTCATAAATATTTGATCTAAGTAAAAATACATTTTCTTCAAAAATTTGTATGATAGTAACAACATTGCTGTATGATAATGCAAACTATTCATAAATAAAAATTAATTTCTTTAATTTTCAACTTTTTTCCTCACGCAGAATTACAAGAATATCTTAGTCCATGACGGAAAAATAAAGATAACTATTTTTGGCATGCCAGAACAATCACATATTGATATAAATACCGTAACTTCCCAAAATTCTACAAGCAAGTTAATACCCGCTTATATAGAACCAGAATATCTCAAGAATCATAAATACGAACGTGATAAAAAATCCAATATATACAGCCTTGGCTTTCTTTTATGGGAAATTAGTAGCGGTAGACCTCCTTTTTCAGATCTTGAAGGGGCTAACCTACTTTACCAGATTTTTCGTGGAAAAAAGGAAATCCCAGTGGAAGGCACACCTGAACAATACATCAAACTATACACACGTTGTTGGGATAATAATCTTAATAAGCGGCGGATATCTTAGAAGTACTTAATGTTCTCACGGAAATGCTTAAAGAGGAAGGGGAGTTGATTCAACCACCTGAAATTTTGACTGAAGGAACTTTGACTGAAGAAACTCTGACTGAAAAATCTCCGACTGGAGAAGCTCTGATTGAAGAAGCTTTGATTGAAGAAGCTCTGATTGAAGAAGAAATATTGACTGAAGAAACTGAAGAACCTAAGAACTGTACAGGTATTTAAGAACTTTTTCCTTCAATTTTTTTTAAAGCAATAATGACATAGTACTGTATTGTTTCTTAATGAGATCTAATTAAACTATGAATCTTTCATATAAACAGTTCGTTCACAGCCTTATTTAATAAAAGACAAACACCTTGATTTTATATCTAAATGGATTTATAAAGTTTCAAGAACCAATTTAATAAGATTACTTCACCCATTCGAAGATACAAATATACCAAAAACTCGATTCGAATTTAAGTTACTTATTAGGGGAAGCAGAGATGGATTTACTGTGGATAAATTCCATGAAAAATGTGACAATCAAGGGCCAACTTTAACGGTCATGAAAATTAAGGGCACAAATAAGATCTTAGGAGGATATAACCCGCACTATTGGGATTCACCGGACGATTCGTTACATCGTCATTCCAAAAAAATTTTTATATTTAGTTGCGATCCTGATAGCACAGATAACATCATCATTAGTAGGGCAGTGCATGATAAAGCGCACATTAAGTTAAGCTCTAGGAGTGGCCCAAATTTTAAGGATTTATGTATGATTGGTAATTTCGAAAATGATCATAGATGCAAATATTTACATCGATATTATGAAGCCGCGATTTTGGAAGAAAGAAATGAACATTTTTATTTCTCTGTGGATGATTATGAAGTTTTTAAAGTTACTAAAAATCAAAATCTTCCCTCCCATTCTTTCGCTGATTAAATTTGATAGTGTACTCTTCGTTAAAATTGTTTCCAAAAAGACAATTATGTTTTATCTCAGGTGTGATGCATCGTTACTCTTGATCAATCAATCATTTATTGTTTTAATTTTATATTAATCAAAACAAATAGCGGCCGGGTTAAGACTATGATTTGGTAGGATAATAATTAAAAGATCTTTTTTAGCACAAAATTTTCGCATAGATTTTCACGTTGCACCTGATTTGCATACGATCGGTCGATCAGGGTGACGATGCATCGCACTAATAACTCTCTTCCAAAAATATCATTTATTTAAGCATGATTCTTTTGTATTAACAGTTATAAAATATTGTTTAAATAATCACTTTTTTTTTAATAATTACAAATTTACAATAATAAAAATATTTAAGGTTCTGTAAAAAAATTGACATTTAAATTTTAAATATACACAAATTATTAGAATTTTAAGTGTAGAGAGTACTATATATAAACTTAATGGTAAATTTATTATATTTAATTTTATAAAAAAATTATATTAAGTAAATTAATTTTATTTTTTAAATTAATTTTAGTGTAAGTTTTTTGATTCTAATAATAAATAATTAAAATTAGTTGAAAATTTAATAAAATATAAAAATTTAAAGATTAGTTATAAATATTTATTAATAAACTATCTTATAAATTTACATAGATTAGTCAATTAAGGGGATGGTGATCATAGTGTAGTGGTTGGGTTGTCATCCCCCAAGTGACAGGTCTAGTGTTCAAATCCTATCTACAATGAAATTTGGAAAATTATACCTGTGTTATGACAAACTGTCTCTTGATGATCAGTTGGATTGGTGTATCTGTAATCTTAAATTATACCATCTCAAATGGAAGCTTGGGTTATCTATGCAAACTGTAATGTTACATATACATAGAGAAATATATAACTGATGTTACATAAGGTTTCAGTGCAAACCCATGATAAGATCATTAGGCACAGTAAACTAAGGAACTGAAGAGTCAGAAGTTCACTTGGAAATTTCTGAATAAAGAGGTAGTATGAATTTTTGATGATATGATCAGATTGATGAAAACCTATAAAACACCCTCAAAGAGATAAATGAATAAATCATATGACAAGATATATAGAGAAATACATGATTAACCAGTTTACTGAAGAAAAAAAAATATATAAGTATAGCATACTAGATCATTTGAATTAGAAGTCAAGGGAGTTCTGTTAGTCTTAAATAATGGTTAGTAAGAGATAATAGAAAAGACATTATGATGATAGGTATTAAGGTTTTAGTAAACTTTATAAAAGTAAAAATAGTATAACATGGTAGTTAAACAGGTAACCTCTATGATTACAAGTATTAGGCAATTATAATAAGTTATATAAAACTAGGTCAGTTGTGTGTGGAACATGGAAGGTTCTAGTAAGTTTCTGTTAAGGATAAATTAGTTCTAAAGGGCCTCAAAAGTATTGGGTACTTTGAATGGATATAGCCTTGAAGATGTCATTATAAGACATAGTGGATTATATATTAGAGGGTTTAAATAGACAAGAACCATAGTTGGCTTACAGATATAGCACCTAGTATAGAACTTATATAGTAATATATAGGCAAACTACTTAAATTAGACACTAAAAGTGCATATGTAACTAGTTATAATCTCTAATATAAGAAGCTTCTGGAGACATTCATGTTCAAATATATAAATAAAAATATTGATCCTTATAGACAAAGACTTTAACTGTTAAAAAAAAAATAAATAAAAATAAATAAATTAGTCAATTAGAATTAATGATTTTGAGCAACTTAGAAAATTTTAAGTAAACTCAAAAAAACTTTCTGATATATATAAATATAATTTTTTAAATAATAAAATAGTTCAAAATTTTATTATAATAGATAATAATTTTATTATATAATTATATTATTTATATTATATAAAAAATTTTTAAATAAAAAGTATGGTAATTAAAGTAATTGATAAGTTGTTAACTTCCAAGTAGCAGTCTTGTATTCAAATTTTATCTTTAATAAAATTTAGAAATTATATTTATGTTATAATAAATTGTCTCTTGAAAATTAGATAGATAGTTTTATTTATAATCTTATCTCAAATAGATATTTAAAGTATTTATGCAAAGTATAACATTATATATATATAGAGAAATGTTAAAATTAGTATAGTATAAAACTTCAATACAAAGTTATCTCTTAAATTGTAGGCTATTGTAAGCAAATTTGCTTGCATTTTTGTATTTTTTTTTAGCTCTAATCTATTTTCTTAAAATGCTAAAATATATTAATAAAATTTGACATAATAATATTTGAAAATAATAATTTTTTTATAATTTTTTATTTTTTTTATTAATATAATATTTAAATAGAAACTTTTTATATATAGAATCATAGGTTCTAAAATTAAAGATTTCTAAACTAAATTTGTGCTACAAGTTGGTACCCAATGTAACATTATACCTTCTATTTCCTATAAGTGCTATAGCTAACTATTTCAAATTAGGTTCTAGCTAGGATAGGTTGGAGAAGACCTTCAAGTGATTGTTTGAACATTATTAAATATAAGTAGTTAGTAAATAACCTTGTGTAAGTCATTTGATAATAAAAGGCTTAGTATTTATAATTTAAGAAAAGATTATTGTATTGTTTGAAAAAGTTGGTAATATTACTAAATAAATTTTGGTATATTTAGATTTTGATATAATGTTATAGAATATTTTCCATTAGAGTTAGTATATATTGCAAGTAGACCAGAGATTTTAATAAAACAGTTTAATAGATTGTTTGAAAGCTGGAGTAGGAGGGCATTAGTTTGTTTGTTAATAAGTGTTTTAATACTTTCATAAGTAGTAAAAGTAAAGGTTCCAGTAATGATATATATTATATATTTGAATTGAGAATTTGGTGTACTGAATGTAAAATTTAAAAGAATATTTAGTAAGATTGTTGAAGTTATATTAGTGATTTTTAGTGATATTAGAATATCTTGTATTGTATTTTTAAGTAATTGTAGAACTTTCATAGTATTACTAGGACAAGAAAATAAATGAAGATTATCTTCAGTATTTATATAGTAGGAGCAATTTGAAGTAGTATAGAGGTATGAGTAATGGATATTAAGATTTTGCATAGTAGGTAGATTATTAGTAAGAATTTTGATATGGAAAAGTATTTTTGTAAATTATTTTCAAATAAGAAAATGATTTTAAATTTTAAAAACTATTTGATGTTTGTAATGTTTTGAAAGAATTTTAAGTTTGATTATTTAGCAATTTTATGAATAATTAAGAATTTTTGATAAGGTGTGAACTTTAAAAAGTATTAGATAGTTATTTTATATAAAGTAGTTTGAAGTATTAAATTTTGAGTTGTTAATTTTAAAAGTAAGTTTTGTAGTTTCTTGTTTGGTAAGTGAATCTGCTTGGTTATAAAAAGAGTCTGTAATATGTGATTTGACTTGTGAAGAGTAGAAATAATGTTTTTAAGATATATGGTGTTTTATTATTTGTATAGTATATACAATAAAAGTAGTAAGAGTTTGAAGATAGAAGTAGTAATATAGTTTAATTGTATTAAGAAAAGTATTGGTAGAAGAAAGATTTATATGAGTTTAAGTTTGAGTTGTGATATTAGATTGGTTTAGGTATAAAATTTGAATAAACCATTTTGATTGACAACCTTTATTAGGTTTGTTTGTATATAAGCTATGTGAAAATATTTTTGTTATTTGTAATTATAATTTATTCTAGAAAAATGATTTTATTATTTCTAAGACTATTGATAATAGATATGGATAGGTTGGTAGAAAGGATATTATAAATAATATAAGTATTTTTTGGTATTGATGAGAGAAAAGATGAAATTTGTGAGATAATTGAGAGTAAGATATCATTTAAAGCTAATTAGAAAAGATGAAAAAGTAAAGTATAATTTTGCATTTTTTAATAATGATTAGTTAAAGTATTTAATAAAAGTTGAAGTGACTATATTTTGGTTAGTCATTCTTTAATTCATTAGATGCTAATGTTTTTAAGAATTAGTAATGTGTTAAATATTCATTTAGTATTAGTTGCACTAACTTTTTGAATAATATTGTTAAAGATTGGTAAATTAAAGATAAGTGGATTAGTAAGAATTATATTGTTAGTGTTTTTGTTAAAGAAAGCATTTTTTTAGTATGAATAGTAAAAAGACGAGAGAATTTAGATTGTGTATTTGTATGAACTAGAATAATTTGAAGTAGATATTCTAATAAAGGTTGTAGACTTAAGTTAAAAAGTGATGAAATTTGTGAAAATGTTATTTTTTATATCAAATAAAAGTAAAAAAGCTTTTGATTTTGTTTTGAATTTGGTTAAGTGTTGGTTTAAAAGATCTTTTGTTATCATAAAAAATGCCAAGATATCAAATTACATTTTGTGATTTTTTGGATAAAATGTTTTGTTAGTTCATTGAAAAAGTGAGAGTTGGATTTGATAGAAATTTAGATTTAATGTAAAGAAGATCTGTTTTGTTAATATTAATTTTTATATTATTAAATTTATATAATTCAGAGATATTATTTATAATATTTTGCATTATGTTTTCACTTTCACAATGCCAGATGGTATTATCCATAAAAGCCAATAGTAGATTTGTTATTAAAGAGAATGTTGTATTAGTTATAATATTAATAGAAGATTGATATAAAATTTTTACTAAATAGTTTTTGTATTTTTTGTAAATAAAATAGAGTATAAGGGTATAATAAATTTTTTATAAGAGAGATGAGCATGTTTCATCTTATTCAATTTCAGAATTAATTAATATTTGTGAGGTAAGGCCATGAGCAGTAATTACTCTAGCAAATCAATGAGAATGTAGTTCTGTGATTAGGTTAATTTCTGTAAAAAGAATTCTTATTTTTTTACAAGTATCTTGAAGTCTTAATATGTTAATTTTATCAAAAGCCTTGGATATATCTTGGAAAAGAATCCAGGCTTCTTTGTTGATGGTTATA